TCAAAACGTCGTCGTTCGAGGATCATCATGATATTGGAGAATTGGCACAAGATTGTTTGATCAAGGTAATGTTCCTCTATAGACTGATTTCCAAAAACATTGATGGAAATTGATTGTTCTAATGTTTGAAAATTAATTTTTTTTCAATTTCAGGAGGTTGATTTCAAGGCGTCAACTGTTGTAGAAATCGGAAGTCTGCAGCCAAAAACAAACTATTCCTTCGAAATATTCTTGGAAAACGTGCATTTTCAGTCTCAATTTGGCCCTGGAACTGTTTTTCATTACAAAACAATAGGTCGGTGGTGCTTTTTAAAAAAAAAATTGAACTACTTCATCCATTGTTTTTTTTTCTTAATTTCTTTTCAGGATTCAGGCCACATAAACTCGACCCACCTGTTGTGCTAAAACAAGGTTCCACGGGTTTCACTATTGTTCGTTGGGAAGCCGTGAAAACACCTGTTGCGGCTCAAAGTGATTCAGAAATTGTTTCAAACAAATACATTTTGGAGGGCAAACGAAGTTCTTCGCCGGGATTCCACTGGACTGTGATTTACAAAGGCTCAGGTTGGTTTGCATTGACCAAATTCAATTTTTTTTAAATCGAATATGATGAGAATTTGTAACAATTTTCCTAAAACCTTGCCATGGAACACTTAGCGGTTTCGAGGATTATTCTGGCTCAAAATTTTGAAAAGAGATAACTTCGCTTGGGAATATTACAAGAGTTTTTGAACTGAATATTGACGTCCAAACTTCACTTACTCTTGGATTTCCTCGAAAATCGAAAATTACGATGAACTGCATAAGAATTAATATCGAGTTTTCTGAATTACAAATGAATTTCCACCAAGATTTTAAAATGCAAAATGTTCAACGATGCAAATATATATAATATTTTTGCTCCACTTATGCAGAGACTTCGTACAATTTCACGCACCAACGCGAAGCGAGGAACCTCGGAACCATCGTCAACGACACCACCAGCACCATCAAGGACACCACAAGTGGCACCATCATCACGTCGGAAAACGATCAAAAGTGGGTGTTCAGAGTTGCCGCCGAAAATGAATTCGGGCTCGGGGAATTCAGTGAGCCGAGCAAGTCCTTGTTGGATGCTGAACCGTTGGCAATGCTGACGGAAACTGCGGAATTGGCAGTTGTGGTCGGCGCTGCTTGTTTGGCAGTTGTCATAATTGCATTGGCTGCTTACGGATGTCTTTTAGGTAACTGTGATTTTTTTTTAAATTATATTCCAGGAAAAAAACATTGTTGAAGGGAATTTTTTTCCTTGTTAAAATTTTAAAGAAAAGTTGAAATAGAAAATGAACAAAATTTGTTTTCGTGTTGGTCTGAAAATATTCAAGATTGGGTGGAATATTTTTCTTGAGGCTTTTTATGCTTTATATTTAGAATACATTATTTTTTAGTAATTCATTCAAAAACATTCCTTTTTTAATTAAAAAAAAATTCATGATTTGGGGGAAATGCAACATTATTATCATGCAACAATATTATCATGAGAAAATTCCTCAAGGAATCATCATCTTCAATTCTCTCAAGAATTTATAGTTTACAAAGTGTGAATAAATTTTTTTCTTTGAGTGTTTTACTCCCAAATTTTGGGATACTTTTTTTCAGTAATTAATTCAACAGCGTATTGGTACACAAAATTATTTCATTCATAATATTCTGTACAAAATTGCTACATTTCATTTTTTTTTAATCTACACGCGTTTCATGTATTGAATTTAATATATTATAATCTTGACTCGCAATCCTTTCCACCTTAGTTAGGGTATTGCAGTACAATATTATCATAAGATAATTCCTCAAGGAATTATCATCTTCATTTCTCTCGAGAATTTATAGTCTTAAAAAATGGGAATAATTTTGTTTTTCTTGAAGTGAAAAGAAGGAGCGAGCTGAAGGCCAGGCAATTCAGCAATTCCCCCAATTTCCCAGGGGCTGGACACGATTTGGCAACACTGACTGACCTGCCAAGACACGCGAGGTTCATTGAGGAAACCAACGAGTTTTACAGACCCAGCAATGACATGGACGACGGCACAGATGGCGCTGCTGGAGGCCCCACTGCCGAAGAAATGGGCTTGTTGCCGAAAATAAGAAGACAACACATAACCTTGACGAAATTCCTGGGCTCGGGGGCCTTTGGCGAAGTCTTTGAGGGACTGGCCAAGGGGTTACCTGGTCACTGTGACCCCGAAGGAACCAAAGTCGCTGTCAAGGTTTGAATAATTTTAATGTTATTTGCTAATAATTGAGGCTTGGCGTTGAAAAAATCAATATATTTATTTCTTTTCTTCTTTTTTTATGCAGGCTTTAAGAAAGAATGCTACTGCACAGGAAAGATCTGATTTCCTGTTTGAAGCCAGCAGGATGTTGCAGTTCAAGCATGAGCACATTTTGAGACTGCTGGCTGTGTGTGTTGAAGGAGAACCCTGCTATTTGCTGCTGGAGTTGATGGATGGAGGAGACCTTCTGAGTCACTTGAGGAGTAACAGACCAACAACTGTGAGTGATACTTCATATACACTATACTGTACACTATAAATATAAAATCTGCACATCAATATATTTATATAGATATACATAAATATATTCTGTTTGAATTTACTCAAGCACCAAATGTGCACATTTTTTTTATCAAATCAAACAAAGAGAAAAAAGGGATGCACATGAAAAATGGGTATAACTAAAAATTGGATACTTTGTTTTGCATTTCAGTGTGCCTTTTATTTGATTCTAATAGGAAATTTTGGATCATGTGGAATAAACAATTATTTTAATGGGGATGATTGAAAATTGCTTCAATTCAGGTTCACTTCATGCCAAAATCCAATTTTGGCATTCTTACCTTGGAAATATTAAAGTTTTAGAGTAAAAAAAAATGGGGCACATGTGTTTTATACTCAGGCATACAATTTTTAAAATATTTTTTGGCTGAAAAAAGGTGTTTGCCGTTATTCAGCAAGGAAGTGCTGGGGAATTTCTTGGAAAAGGAGTGTCTGCATATATTTTGCGTATATTCAAGCTGTTTGCCAAATTATTATACCAGTATCTTTGCAGTTCAATTATTTGCTTGCAGATATATACACAGAATAAGCATAAAGTAAAGTACAGTGATATATAAAAGATCCCTCCATTGGATATCTTTCAGCTCAAAGTCCTCTTTTAAAGTAAGCAAAAATTCCCATAATTTCAGATTTTTTACCAATACAATATTTCTTTTTTGAAATTTTTTACATTTTATTGCAGCATGCACCAAGCAACCTTTCACTCTATGACCTCATGTCCATGTGTGTGGACGTGGCCAAGGGTTGCAGGTACCTAGAGGAGCTCCATTTCGTGCACAGGGATTTGGCAGCTAGAAATTGCCTTGTCAGCAAATCCAGAACCCCGCACTGTCGACTAGTATTAGACACTGTGGACACCACAAATCATGCCGAGTGCAGTTTGAATGATGATGAAGAGGATGACACTGTGACTACAGCGACATCTACGGCACCCGCTGCTCCGTCGTCTACGCTTAATTATATGATAGATGTCGCCAGCATCGGAGACGAAGAAAACGACGACGAACAACACGAGACATTGAAGGCGAAGTTTATCGTCAAGATTGGGGACTTTGGATTGGCCAGGGATGTTTACAAAAATGATTACTACAGGAAGGAAGGAGAAGGTTTATTGCCCGTCAGGTAAAAAACATGATCCTGAGGCACTGTGTTTATTTTTGAAGCCAAAACCTGTTGAAAAGTGTGCAATTCCATCAAATTAATTTTTTTTTTAAATCAAAACAACTCTCTGCAACTTTGAACATCTCATAAAGCGAATAGAATAATAATTCAATATATTCCGAAAATCCACAGAAGCCTGAACTGCAAATTTCCCTGTTCATTGCACAAATGAATGTTTTTATAAATAGAGTTTCTGTATGGAATTCATAATTAAAAGTTAAAATTTTCTTCTCATCAACCCCATATTTCAAGTCTGGTCCATAGATTCATAAAAAGTCAATACAGTGACCCCCCGCCTAACAGACCTCCCATGTAAGGGATTTTCGCCAAACAGACCAGCTCTGCAAGCAGTTTTTCCTCCCGCCCAACAGACAAAATCCGCCAAAAAGACTTCTTTTGGTTAAAATTAGTGTTGAAAATTGAAATTTTTAATTTTTTATGTAATTGAATTCCTGTAAAGGACTTTTCGTCTAACAGACTCGTCCCTTGCACGAATCAAGTCCGTTAGATGGGGGTTGACTGTATTTTAAATCTGTGGTTTATTTCTTGAGTGGAAATTGACTTGGAGGTTTGTACCATATAGACTCATGGAGTTAAAATACATACATATGCATGCAAGTCAAGTTGGATACTCTTTCATTAATGGAATGTTTATTTGTTTTTGTTTT